ATTCGCTGGTAAATGGATGGAATTGGAGAACATCATTCTGAGTGAGGTTAGCCTGGCTCAAAAGACCAAAAATCGTATGTTCTCCCTCATATGTGGACATTAGATCAAGGGCAAACACAACAAGGGGATTGGACTTGAGCACATGATAAAAGCGAGAGCACACAAGGGAGGGGTGAGGATAGGTAAGACACCTAAAAAACTAGCTAGCATTTGTTGCCCTTAATGCAGAGAAACTAAAGCAGATACCTTAAAGCAACTGAGGCCAATAGGAAAAGGGGACCAGGTACTAGAGAAAAGGTTAGATCAAAAAGAATTAACCTAGAAGGTAACACCCACGCACAGGAAATCAATGTGAGTCAATGCCCTGTATAGCTATCCTTATCTCAACCAGCAAAAACACTTATTCCTTCCTATTATTGCTTATACTCTCTCTACAACAAAATTAGAGATAAGGGCAAAATAGTTTCTGCTGGGTATTGGGGGGGGGAGCGGAAGGGGGCGGAGTGGGTGGTAAGGGAGGGGGTGGGGGCAGTGGGGAGAAATGAACCAAGCCTTGTATGCACATATGAATAATAAAAGAAAAATGAAAAAAAAAATACATGACGTGAACTTCTGGAGGGCAAAGGCTATGTCTTGTGTCTCTGCCTCTAGCATGTTCTTCTCTAAAACACAGAGAACTTTCATAAAAGGTTGAACATTTCATGAAATATCGATTTTATAGACATCTCTAATCATGTCATCAAAATTAAGGTAAAATCGTATTCTAACCTCCCTAATTTATATCCATATATTATATAACTTCGTAAGTTTGAAAAAGTCAATGTCAATATTTACAGAAGAACTGAGAGTTTAGTGCTAGGCTGTTCTTCCCTATCCTCAAAAACAAAGCAGAGCAAAACTCACATTTCAACTGAAAGGAATATTTACCAGAATCATCCTTTTAATAACATTTTTGCTTGGATCAACGAAAGAAATTATAAAAGAGACCTTCAAACTCCTTTTTCTTTCTTATTTTCACTACCACACCAAACTGTGATACACAATCATAACAGAAACATTTGTTTAAAAACCATCTGATTTCAAAATAAAGTAACTGTGGTTGCTGGGGGGTGGGGAAGGGGAGAGGCTGTTGTTGTTTTTGTGATACTGAAGCTGGAAGCCAGGTTCCATCCTGTGTGATTGCTTTTAAGGTCATCCTATAAAAATGCCTAAGATGCTAGGAGGATGAAACCAAAATGCTCTCAGTCACACATTCAGTTGTAAAGCCTAGCTGAAAGTTTCATTACCTAGGAAGTTACAAATTTGCACATGGCTTCAAGGGAATTTTAATATAGAATTACCCATAAATAATTTTATAACAAAAATAGCTGGAGTCTATTGGATACTTACTATGTGCCAGGCACACAGTTATTTAATCTTCATCATGGTACCATGAGGTCCATATCTATTAGTATCTTCATTTTAAGGTAAGAAATTAAGGCTAGGACTGGAGTGGCTCAATTAGTAGAGCACCTGCCTAGCAAACTTGAGCCTGAGTTCAAACCTCAGTACCACCAAAAAAAAAAAAAAAGAAGAAGAAAAATGAAATTAAGGCCAAAACAGGCAAAACAACATGCCCAAGACTGAGCTATATCAAGATTCAGTATTCAAGCCATGGCTGTCTGAAGCTTTATCTATAGAACCTGAGAAATTTGGGGGATTTAAGCAAACGGTAGAAGAAAAGGGACACATTCAGATAATTACCCACACTGTGTACCCTGGAATCGGTACCAACGTTAAAATGGATTTTCAGAAATTGTTCTCTTCTACTTGCTTCTACATAAATCCTTTCACATCAAAACTCAAGTACCAGGCATCACACAAATATGGGGTAAAATGCTTTCTGGGCACATGTTTTGGCCAGGGGAGAAAACATATCTCTTGTTTATATTGCTTGCAGTAAAGATCTGCAGTAATGGAAACTGCCTAGCAAAGAATATCAAGAAAGGGAAAAGACTTATTTCCTCTAGCTTGACACCAGAAAGTGATGCAACCACGTTTTGTTTTTTTGTATGCACACCTACAGTATGAACACCCAAATGAAGGCTGTATTTTTGCTATGGTCTGAAACTTAAATATTCCGCAGTTACCCCCGGGTGATGGCGCTATTGGGAGGTGGTGGAAACTTGGGAGCTGGGGCCTCATTAAGGAAGTAGGTCAGTGGGAGGGTGCCCTTGAAGGAAACCTGGCCCCTTCCTCTCTCTGTGTGGCTACCATGAAGTAAGCAGCTTTGCCATACCTTGTGATGTTCTGCCTTCCCACAGGCCCAGGAGAGCCGATGGCCATGAACAGAACCCTCTGGAACTATGAACCCAGATAAACCTTTCTTATGTTATCTCAGATATTCTGCCTCAGCGATGGAAATCTAATAACTTCAGAATAATTACTGTCCAATCCCGAAAGCATATGTCATGCCTTTACTGGATCCATTTAAGAACTGCCAGTCCTTGAAGTGAATTTTCATTACTTTAATGGGCTTACTTAGAGTTATAACCTCTATTCTCCACCTCAGAAGTCCAAGTTGGCCCCACACTGGCAGCGTTTGGCCCTCTCCCCACTGAGGAAGGTTGGCCACGCTGAGGCAATTCAGTAAATGTGTTGAAAACTCTGAAGGTAACTCCAAAGCAGGAGCTCCAAAGTTATTCTCAGCAATGACAGCATCACTAGAATTAGTGCACAGCTCGCCGAGAAGGTTTCTGAAGGGGAGAAATACTCATTTGAATGTATAAATGCTGGCATATTTAACATTTGGATACAGGATTGGAAACATCAGCTTCCAAGTGAATAATGTCCCACTGCGGTAATAATGCAGATTTTGGGCCAAGGTTCTGACTTTTTTGGGGGGATGGGGTGGGCTTTGCACTTGCAAAGCAGGTGCTCTACCACTTGAGCCACATCTCCAGTCCAGTTTTGCTCTCGTCATTTTGGAGATGGGGTCTTGTGAACTATTTGCAGGAGCTGGCCTCGAACCTTGATCCTCCTGATGGATCTCAGCTTCCCAAGTAGCTAGGGTTACAAGCATGAGCCACTGGCTCCCAGTGGGTTCTGACATTTTAACACGCCAAATACACCCTCTTAATGCAGCAAATCTTGTCCAAAATGATATTTGTCAAATGAATACATGGCTTTCCTGCTAACTCGAATAATTATTGAAGAGGGAAAAAAGGCAGAGTCAACAAATGCTAATTGGCAAACAGTCCTGATTCTCCTAGGAAGGGCTTCTCGGTGTGTCTCAGAAGATGGACCTACATGCACAGCGCAGAGGGGCCAGCCAGGGACGGCATTCTCCCTCTCCCAACCCCATGCCAGATCCACTGGAGACTGTTCTCAGGTCCTGGGTCTTCTCGAATTAGCTGTTACACCAAGCGAATTCCCACACATAATCAACAATGTAGAACAGAGTAAGATAGCCAACATCATGTTAACTATCAGAGGGGGCTGCACAACTAAGATATATAACAAGTAAACAACAGAAAAACAAATAAATAAATGAAACAGTCTGTGTCCTGGTCATTTGCTCGTTTTTAGATACTGTAAGGACTTCGATACCCATCCACTGAGGTGTGAAATAAGCAACCTGGCACCCTTCCAATTGACTGGGTCAAAGGGGCTGCTCAGGGGTGGGTACAGGCTAAGGGTGATCTTAACAGGGCAATCAAGGCCAGTCTGTCTTCCATTCAGGTAACTTCCTGTTAACTGCAGTAAAGGAGCCTTCACTGATACAAGCACCCCCAAACTGTACAGTAATAGTGTTTACTTGATTGTGAAATGCAGTGCACTTGTGGGCAGTTTTGAGTGTGTGTGTGTGTGTGTGTGTCTGACTTCCCTCCAGTTTTTACTCAGAAACAGCCTCTGACAGAGTACGGGAGCACACCTTTATTGTAATGAGTTACGCCTAAGGAACACACACAGGTAGGTATTATGGTATATTTGAAATCTTACTCTGTAACCACTCTTTTTAGCCCAGGCCCTTCTCACCTTGTCCACAGGCAAAATCGTTTCTAACCCAGCTCAGAAAAGTGGGGTGCAATAGGGCAAAACAAGGAGCTCTACAGCACCGAGGTTCTCCCTCTGCTCCGTAGCTGCCTGTGCTGGACTGCACTGGAAGCTGCGATGCTCTGGCTGCGTCCAGGTCTCCGCACAGGGTGGGCTAGATGTCCCCTTCCCCCCAGACCCCACAGACGCGGTACTCCCGGGGGTCGCTGAGTGTTGGGTCTTCACTCGCCCAGTCTGGGGTTGCTCAGATCGCTCTCTCAAGAGGGTGCCCCTTCCAGGTGTCCACTAAGGGGACTGCGTTCCCCTGGGTGCCGGCGTCACCGGCCACCCCCTACCCTCCGCCGCCATCCTTCAATCCCCTATGCCCGCCTATAAACCAGCACCCCCAGTTCTCAGCACCATCTTCTCCGAGAAGCCCCCTCCATCTTTCCAGGGGAGACACATGCCCCGCCCCACCCTACTCTTTCCGGGGCTCCCTTCCCTCGGGCACCCCCTTCCGCTCGGTTCTTCCTCTACTTGGCACGCCCCTCCGGGTTCCGCTCCCCTCTGCCCTGCGGAGGGCGCCCCAAGAAAGCAGACGGGACGCCCCTCGTTCCACCCTCCCCCAATTCGCGGTCTTGACCCTCCTGCGCTCGGGACTCAGGCACCCCCCAAAGCGCGATCTGACACCTACCCCCATCGGAGCTTTTGGGGTTTCGGTACCCGACCTCCCCGACATCGCAGTCGTGACCCCCCACCCCTGTCTTTCAGGGCTCCGGGGCTCCCCCAAAGCCCAGTCTTGACCTGGTGTCCTGCTTTCCAGGATCGAGTACTGAAACTCTGCAGCCTCGCGAACCCAACTGGGGTCGGGTTCTCCAGCACTGCGGTTCTGCGCCCTCCTCCAGGCTCCGGCCCCGGGCGCCCCAACATCGCAGTCCGGACCCCCAGCCCCGGGCCCGCTCCCCGCCTCCCGCGGCTGCACTCACCCGCCGAGCGTGCGCGCAGCCCGGCCCGGCCCCGGCTGCACTCGCGGCTCCGAGCTCCCGCGGGCGGGCGGGTGGCTGTGACCGCCGAGGGCTCGGCAGGGGCAGCGGCGCGGGGGAGGGGACCGCGGGGCCGGTGACGCCCGGCTCCGCCCCTTCCCGGCCCGGGGACGGGGGCGGGATGCGCAGCCCCGCGCACACCCGCGGCCGCCGCCGCCCGCGCCGCCGAGGAAGCTGGCTGACGCGGCTTCCTTCCACCCCGGCAGCCCCCTTCCACTAGCAAATCAAACAAACAAACACACACACAAAAACCGCAAGGAGGTGGGGAAGGGGCTTAAGAGAGCCAGGGACGCCTTAACCTCCTGTTCTTTACAGCAACCTGCTCAAGGGGGGCAGTTCCCAAGTCCCTCCAGAGGGGGACGAAACACCAAACTTCATTTGTCATCTTAAGACGGAGTCAAATCCTGGTCTTCCTCTCACCACCTTCATGTTAGCATTCAGGGGTCAAGGCCATGAAATAGATCATGCTGCAACACACCAGCAAAGCCCGTGATGACACATGGTCACGTCCCTCGTGCAAGACCCATGCCTCTCCCAGGACTGCACCACACTAACACGTTTCACGCTGCCTTGCCAGGGAGACCGTCTCTATTCCATCTCAGCACTGCTGCTCAGCCACAGTGCTCCCGATTCGCCATGAGGAAAAAGCACTTAAGAAGTAGGACCATCAGTTAGCAAATGGAATTGACTTTACTGCTTAAAAAAGGCGGGGAGGGTGGGGAGACTGCATTACTTGAGAGAGAGAGAGAGAGAAAACCCATTAGATCGTAAGAAGATGGATCAATGTATCTGTAAAGGTTCATAGGTTCATCTATTTACTATTCCAAGACAGACTTAATTCTGGACTGTTAATTTCCCCACTTTTCCCTTGTACTAGCCTGTATCTGTGACATGTCTAACAACAGCTCACATTTGTACAATGTTTTTACTGTTTCATAACATTTTAAAATCCACTACTTTCTTCAGAAAGAAAGTAGGCTATCTAGCAGGATTATTTCTATTCCATGGGTGTTTCCATCTACACCACAAAGATGTCAAGGAATTCTCCAGTATGTTCAAAAACGTGGGACTTCAATATTAACAGGAATTTATTTTTTAGCTAGAGATCACAACAAAGCTGATTAAGAGGAAGTAAAAACTCCCTCTTCTGTACTGAGCCAAACTAAAAAATGAGATTACAGGTCAATAGCCTGAAGACCACCCACAGACTCAATCCCACTGAAGTAAGCCATGGCCAGTCAGAGCTGACGAGCCTGGGAAACACATTGTCGATTGTTCTGATGGGCTTATGTCTCCAGGAGAAGGCCTCTACTGGGTGTGAAGTTTTATAAGGAGACTGACAAGTATTCCAGTCCTTTCTCAATACAAATGTCCCTTTCTTTTCGTCTTTTATCAGATGCAGATGTGCAAGTGTAATGAATGACAGGCATTATTATCTGTGTGAGAGGGGTCTGTTTACCATTGACCTGCCTGGAGCCATAGATAAGGAAGGTGTTTCTCATCCTTCATTCCTATTAAAGCTACTTGGCTCCCAGGCAAGCAAGCCCCTTCTATTTTCTACTGTGGGGTGATAGCCGACCTCAGTTTAGGCAGTAAAATAATGTTTTGGTAGCTCTGAGAAAAAAATGAACAAACAAAAGAACCCCAGTCCAGCAGTGACCTTTCTATTTTTGAACCACAATAAAAGCCTGTTAGAGTCTCCACAGGACAGTCAGGATGGCCTTTGGTATATGGAAATTGAGAGCTAACTTCCCTGCATGTAACATTGCCATAGGGCAATACAATTTTGACTTGAGATTTTTCTAAAAACTGCAATCATGCAAACTTCCTCAATAAGAAGGCAAGCCTGCTAATCCAATCAGCATTCCCCTTCAGACTGCCATTAAAGCCACAGACAATGCAACATGAAAAATAATTAAGAAATAGACATGCAAGATTAAGGAACTATTTTGCCCCAGTCTTTTTTATCTGTTATTTATTTATTTATTTATTTATTTTTACAGTACTGGGGTTTGAACTCAGGGCCTACACCTTGAGCCACTCCACAAGCCTTTTTTTGTGAAGGATTTTTTTGAGATAGGGTCTTTCAAACTATTTACCCAGGCTGGCTTTGAACTCTGATCCTCCTGATCTCTGCCTCCTGAGGAGCTAGGATTACAGGCGTAAGCTCCTGGCGCCTAGTTTGTTCCAATCTTTAACAAACAATTTGGTCCATTTTATGTTGCATACATATCAAACTGACACTGTTTTTATAAAGCTTCTACTTTGTGTTTACATAGCATTGCTTTTCCAAGGATCTCAAAGTATTAGACTTCATATGTTTATGTGATGTAGGAAGAAGTAGGAACTGTTAGCCTTACCAGAACATGGAGAAATGGAAGAGGAACTTACATAAAACTATTTACCTTAAACATCCTGGTACATATACTGATGCTGGTTTATACTGGTCTATCCAAAAGGAAGACCTGTTATAAGACCTACTTGTGAAAATTTGCAAAATTGTAGAATTGCTTAAAAGCTGTAGTTATTATATTGTTTTCTTTCTACATCTTTCGGAAGGGCTAAGGGCCATTTCTTCACTGTCTTGTGAGGTTGGAAGTGTCTCCTCTAAGAGTCTTTGGTGAGTAACCTAACCTTTTTGTGCTTCAGGATCCCATGTGAGACATGTATGTAGTCATTTTACCTACTTTATCTAGCTATTGCTACAATTAAATGAAATGACACACAGTATGCACCTAACGTTGTGCCTGTCAAATAGTGAAGGCTTAATAAATGTGAGTAAAAAGCAGTTGCTTGATTTAAGTCATTGTTTATGGATCTTTGTCTCAATACTTTCTACTTGAAATAAACATATACTATTTCAGTGGATGCTATGGGAGGAATTTTGGGAAACTTGACTATTTATAATTTAAAAAAAAATTAAAGGGCTGAGGGCATGGCTTAAATGATAGAGCACCTGCTTTGCAAATGCAAGACCCTGAGTTCAAACCCCAGTAACACCCAATAAATAAATAATTAACCTAAAGTCAAATCTTTCTGTTCCTTGACATTCTGTCAGCAGAGAGCCATCCACTCTGGCTTTTCTATTTAGACTCTCTGCCAACTGGCCAGCAGGGGAAAGCAACCATGATACTAATTTCACCTATTTTATAAACATGATGCTAAGGATTGTGGTTGAATCAGGTTAAAAATAAATAAGCATAGTGGTTTTCTTATATTGTGTTTCCATTTTACTCCCTTTCATCATAGAGTGGTTGGGGCTTACTAAAGCTAGTAAGATTTTCATTTAAAGTTGATCACTCCTTTTTAAATTTCTTTTTTTTTTTTTTCCAGTACTGGGGTTTGAACTCAGGGTCTACACCTTGAGCACTTCACCAGCCCTTTTTTGTGAAGGATTTTTTTGAGATAGCATCTCTCAAGCTATTTGCGTGGGCTGGCTTTGAACGCCAAACCTCCTGCTCTCTGCCTCCTGAGTAGCAAGGATTATAGGCATGAGCCACCAGCACCCAGCTTTTTTTTTTTTAATTTATTAACAACAATAATTAACAATTCTAGAAGCAAGTCTATACATATAAATGAAAGAGCTATGTAGAAATTAATTGCTCCTGGGCCCTCAGTAAGCCTGGGTCTTCCCCCTTCCCTACGTAAGAGTTTCAGGTTGCAAACTGTAAGGATGAATAATAAAATGATCAACCAGAAACTTTTTATGTTACTAATAAAATAATGTAAATTCCTAAATTACAAAAAACATTTGATGTGTGTGGTATTTTTAAGGCTTATTCCTAAACAAAGCCTAAATTTAGCAAATACATTATAAAATTGGGTCACAGTATTTAGTGACAAATAAAAGTGTGCCTATGAAAATAAGAGACTTTTCCTTATTCTTCAGCAGAAATTTTGAACCAAAGAGCTTCATAGTGAACACCTCTGGCTGCCCCCTTCTTTAAGGATCCCGACAATTTTTTTTCTCCCATTCACTAGGCTCCTGACTTGGTTATTATATCCTGGGAGACAGAGGGAGGTGGGCAATCCCTGAGCACATGGAAAATCAGAAGAATGAAACTTCAGACTGACCCCAAAGCTTTGGAGATGTAAACGTTTTCACTCTGCCCATTTCTAACTCAATCTGAATTTTGTTGTAAAAGAAGATTTTTGGAAGGAAATTTCTCAGATTGAGGGTTAAAGAAGAAAAGTCATGTAAACTCACCAGGGATGGAAAACTGAGGGTTGAATCTCTGGACTTTGTCACTTTCCCAGTTAGTGTGTTGATAGCTGCATGGAAACATAGCACCCTATAGCCTGTTTCAGTCCTTAGTCTGTTGTCTAAGGAACTTGTTGGCAAAGGCACAAATCACCCTCTGTTGAGCTGCTGGGGACCAGAACCCTCTGAAGGGACAGAATGTTCTGTCTACTGCTCTTTAGTTGAAGCCTATCTCAGGGAGACTTATCTTGGCTCTCAGTTCGCTTAAGTAGGATGGGAAGATGAAAATGGCAGTCTTGGACAAGTTGAGTAACAACTGCATTATTCATGCTTGATCCTGGCATAGTTTCAGGGTTTTAATGATTTAAAAAGAAAAAAAATCAATGCAACAATTGAACAGTTTAATTCAGCTCATGTTTACTGAGTCTGTTTCCACTGCAAAGGGGTGAGCTAGGGAGCAAGAACTGGCCTGTCTATGTGGCCATCTGGAAGGCCTGTTAGAATAGATGAGATCTAGGCTACCCCCCAGCTCAGACTCAGAACAAGGGCAGATGGATTGGGGTCTTCTTTAGTTCATATTTGTACCCCACAGGGACCTGGATGTTGTCGAATTTGTGACTTTGGTTAAGGTGATCTTTGGCAAAATGAGACATAGCACCTTGAACTGACCTCCCTTGTCATACTTACATATCATCTTGTATTTCTCCTTTTTCTTCTTGACTCTTTCACTAAACAATGAGCTCTTACAGAGCCAGTTTTGTGTACATAATTTTCACTGTCATACCAATATGACAGAGCACATAGCATGTGCTTTAAAAAA